GACTCGGGTGCCGCATGATGGAGTGAACTCCCGTCTCTAGTTCCAACTCCTGCCAACCTAGCAGTTCGAAAGCAAGAAATTGCAAGTAGATAAATAGGTACCACTTTGGTGGGAAGGGAACAGCGTTCCGTGCACCTTGGTGTTTAGTCATGCCGGCCACAGGACCACGGAAACGTCTTCAGACAGCGCTGGCTCTTCGGCTTTGAAACGGAGATGAGCACCGCAACCCTAGAGTCGGATTCGACTGGCTTTCGAGCAAGGGAACCTTTACCTTTACCTTTAATACAAGCATATCAAATATTAATACACATGATGGGTCCACACTTTCCAACTGAAGACCAAACGCGTTTCGGCCTCATTCCTTACCTTGATGGAATGACACACATTCAGACTTTTGAAATCTCAGTTACCAGGATACAACATCTGGTCTTTAAATAAGTATACTAAAGATCTTGTATACATATGTTTGAATGTGTGTCTATACTATGTTGTATAGTGACCACTGAGGAAGGCCCTTTGAGGCCGAAACGTGTTTGGTCTTCAGTTCCAAAGTGTTGACCCATCATGTGTATTAATATTTGATATGCTTTTATTAGTCTGATACTTTAAAAATTTTTTAACCCGAATATATTTTAATATGTGTACACCCTAGTAAATTTTGTATTTTTATAATATATGTGGTCACCTTAACCCTTCTGGTTCGCAATGTTATCTTGGGTTGAGTTCCCCCCCCCTTTTCCCCCAGTTCTTACCTAGAAGAGCCAGGGGAAAATAAACTCATGGACTTTCAAGTCTGTATCAATATTAGTGCATTAGGGTGAGTTCAGACGGGCACCTGATCCCACCATTAGCCCGGCTCTAAGTTGATCCTGATTTTTTAAATCCATCATTGCATGACCAGACAGCCCCCCATGAACCATCTTACTCTGCGCTGCCTCCGCTGTGGACTGTCCAGATGTCAGACCATCCTAAACGGGCGCCATTTTTTAATTGCGCGCTGTAACGATCAGACGGGGGAAAGTCGGTGAATGGCCCATCGGGAACCGAAAACTCCAGTTTTAAAGTACTACCTTTTTAATACGGCTCCGAAGTGCGGTAAAACAGGATGCTCACGGACGAGGTACGCTTCCCAGATGTTGCTGTCTGGAAATGACATTTAAATCCACCAGGCACTCGTGCATGGCGCAGATCTAAAGAGCCGTCTGAACGCACCCTTAGTGACCCAAGATAATAGGCGGGTACACATTGCATGCATCCATTGAAGCAGGCTGTTGCTTATGGAAATTAATCCATAAAATACCACCAGCATGTCCAGAAGTGTCTAGAGGCTTGTAGTAAAACGACAGGAAGGAGTCCTTCGTGAGTGTAGTTAAGAGCATGGCCTTGTCAGACATTTCACTGCCACGCCCACTCCCATCCCTCAAAAATAGAAAAGTGCCCACCAGTGTTCCCTCTAAGCTGAGTTAGTGTGAGCTGGCTCACAGTTTTTTAGCCTCCAGCTCACAGATTTTTGTCTTAGCTCAGGAAGGACGGCTCCAGAGCAAACTCATTTATTCAGCAGCCAAATCACTCGCTCACAACTTTAATGCCAGTAGCTCACAAAGTAGAATTTCTGCTCACAAGACTCCACAGCTTAGAGGGAACATTGCAGGTTCTATCATTCTGGGGCTCGCTGATAAAGGGTACACCAAGACCATTTATGGCTGAAATCAGCCGTAAATGTGGGAACGACTGGTGCTTTGCTCCCTCTTGTGGTGTAGCACGGGAATTCCCGGAAACAGGGAAGTCTGACTTGCCCAGCAAGAGGAGACAACCTGCCTGTTTGCTCCTGGGACTGCAAAGAACATTTGCGGAAATGAGGGAAAGCGGCAGAGGAATACAAAGGATGGGACGGGCGGTCTGACCTAAACAGCCAAAAGGCAAGTGAAGATCAGGGGACCTGAATCCTTCTCTCCCACTTAGGTGACTAACCTCCATACTGTCCATAAAAGGTGGGGAAATAAGGTATGGTGGGTGGACTGGAGGGAGTTCAGGTCTTTTCCGCGAGCCCATGTTGCTTTTTAAACTGATGTTGCAACACACACATGCATGCACAAAACTCTAAGAACAGGTCCCAGCGGGCTCCAAGATTTCGGCCCTATAGAGAAACAGGTGCTGTGCCAAAAGGCCAGTTCTGCTACACTTGCCCTCCCCCCAATCAGCACAGCTCCCATGAAAGCTATAGGTACAGGCAGTCTGTCTGCCATTCACAAAAGAGATCCCAATAAGAATGGATTTGATGGGCATATCCAGGAGATTTTCTTTTCTTTTTTCTTTTTTCTTTTTTGAGTCCCCGGAGGGGATCTTATTATTTTATAAATCATTACAAAAACTACAACAGAAAATAAGGGAGAGGGAACTACATTTAAGGATAAAGTAAAGAGACCCACTACTGACTAAAACCCCAAGAGAGGAGATCATCCCACCCGCTTTACACCATCAAGTCTTCATTACGTTTATGCTATTATAAACGGAGCCAAAAAGTTACACTCACTTTTCTTTAACACTTAAATTCTGCCTTAAGAAAGTTACCCCCAATCATCCCATTCCAAAGTTCTCAAAGGCACAATTCAGAGTCCTTCAGCCTTCACTTCTCCTTTCCACAGGAGATTTTCTTTCTCTTCATTAGTTTCACAAGCACACAGGCTGAATTGCAGGAAGGGTCACCTCAAAGGAGACCGGTTCCAATGTGGAGACCAGGCGGGCAACCCAGTAGGAAGGGCTGAGATAAGCAAAGCCGTTCCACGACCTGTTTTCTAAATTTTCATTCAATCTTTAGCCCTCATAGAAATAAGGAGGGAAGGCAGCGTAGGGTTTCCAACTTCAAGGTGGGGCTTGGAATGGTCTGATCTCCGGACCACAGAGTATAGTTTCCCTGGAGGAAGTGGCAGCTTCAGAGGGTGGACTCTCTGGCATTACAGCCTCGCTGGGGTCCCACACTTCAGTTTGGTGTAGTGGTTAAGTGTGCGGACTCTAATCTGGGGAAACCGGGTTTGATTCCCCACTCCTCCACTCGCACCTGCTGATGTGACCTTGGGTCAGTCACAAGCTCTGGCACAGCTGTCCTTGAAAAAGAGCAGTCTCTGTCAGGGTTCTCTCAGCCCCACCCACCTCACAGGGTGTCTGTTGTGGGGAGGGAGAGGGGAAGGAGTTTGTAAGCCGCTCTGAGACTCTAAGTGAAGGGCGGGGTATAAATCCAATCTCTTCTCTTCTTCTTCTCTCTTCTCAAACCTCCAAACCTCCACCCTCCTCGGGCACGGCCCTCAAATCTCCACCAATCTCTCTCTCTGAAGTTGGCAACCTTAAGGCACTAGATTCTAAGAAAATGTGTTTTCAGTTTCCAGTATTGTGGCTAATAACTGAAAGGTGTGGCTAACATGTGGTTTATTGCAAGTCAACTCCATTTTGTCCAAATTACGTGTAAAATGTAGTATCTTTCAAACTGAAATACGTACGCGAATTTGTGCTTGGGATTTTGGTTTTTAATCTGAAAGTATACCCTTCACCTCCGTTCCCAATGGATCCTTCAGTTAATTCCAAGATAAGGACCATGGCTCTGTGGTAGAGCACCTGTTCGGCATGCAGAAGGTCCCAGGTTCTATCCTCAGCATCTCCAGTTAGAAGGATCAGGCAGTAGGGGATGTGAAAGGCCTCCGCCTGAGACCTTGGAGAGCTGCTGCCGGTCCGTGTAGACATTACTGCTCTTTTTATTTTATTTGATTTTAAAAAAACATTTTATTAACAGGATATAGCAACATGTCCAATATTAAGCATTTCATCGTTCACAATATACCCTTTTTTCCCTTCACCCTCCCTCCCCTTCTTTAGGCTTCCCGCAATGCTCCCACCTCCACCAAATCCTCCTTCTTCTTATCCATCCCTTCACCGAAAACAAAACTTAATAGGTAACATTTTCTTTAAGTACTCTCATCATATATTCCGCTCTATGGGTAACAATTTATTTAACTACAATCATCCTCTATTTAACTATTTCTGAGTTCTATTCTTAATAAGTCTCAAAGATTATTCTTAACATCCCAATGTTTCTCTAAATATTCTTTAAAGTCCATCCAATCTGCAAAAAATTCTTCATCTTCTTTATTGTTGAGTTTTCTTGTCAATTTGTCCATTTCTGCCATAAAAAGCAACTTTCTTCTCCATTCCCAAATCTCAGGTATTCGTTCTTGTTTCCAACACTGAGCATAAGTCATTCTAGCTGTTGTGATCAAATACCATATCAATGTTCTCTGTGTAACATTCAAGTCTTCCATTTTAAGACCCAAAAGTAATATTTCTGGTTCTTTTTTAAAGGTACATTTCAAGATTTTTTGCATCTCATTGTGGACTAGACATTACTGCTCTTGATGGACTGATAGTCTGATTCAGTATAAGGCAGCTTCATGTGTTCGAGACGCATCCTAATGCTGTGGTTCTAAATGGAAATAATGGTGCGGTTTGTCAAATGTGGTATGGGCGGCATAGCTGGCACTGATTCTCTCTTTCCTGTTTGCAGCGGCATCACTGAAATGTATCTCATGTCAGGACCCACTCAAGCAATGTGACAATTCTGAATCTGTAGACTGTAAAGCTGACGAAGAATTCTGCCTTTCCTTCACCGCACATATTCCAATAAGTGAGTAAAAACAGGATATCTGCTTAAGAAGTAGCTCATCGGTCAATGGCTCCCTATGACGTCGGCAGATAACTCATCACTCAAAAATCGGTGTCTCCACACAGGGCTGCGCAGGAACCCGATTTCAGGGCAGAGACCTCTGATACACTGACAGGGCAAGCCTAAAAATAGTTTGCCCCATTAAATACCCCTATCAGAGAGCAGCAAATATGATTGCTTATACGAGAGTATAGGATTATATGAGAGGCTGGATGGTGTTTTCTCATGCTACACTGGGAACTCTCCCAGAAAGGGACCAACAACCACTTATATTTCATATTCACCCTCCTGAAGCCTTACTGGATTACTGGATTAAGGGGATCATTAGCAATAGCTCCTGTTGAAATTATGGCTGAAAGTTGTTTGCAATGGTCCAATATACTCGAATAGGAAATGCAGAAAATGCTGAATGGTGAGCCATTTCTTGGATTTAGGGAAAGGATTCTTTTTTTTTACAGTTTATTTTAGTTTTTTAACGTAACATGGTATAATCCTGCCATTCTCAAACATTCCATGACATAACATAACATTCCTCTCTTATCTTAAACATGTTCTACCTTGAACTATCCTTCATTAGTCCAGTTTTAATTCAATCTCATCTTCATCCAGTTTTATACACAATCATTTACTTTCTATTACATTATCTTTCATTTTTAACTAGCCTAGTTTCAATTCTATTCTATCTTTTTCATCTTTAGCCAGTCATAGATTATTTTCCATCTATCCCAGAAGCAGTCTTGAGATTTATTTTATAATTCCACATTCAACTTATCCATCTCTGCTACTTCCAGGATTTTATATTTAAGTTCCTTTATAGATGGTATACCTTTCGTTTTCCAGCATTTTGCTATTAATATTCTAGCTGCTGTTCATATATAACAAGTTATACGGTTGTGGTCTTTTATTGTGTCTGGTAACATGTTCAATAGGTATATTTCTGGCATTAACGGGAGATTGATTTTTAATGTTTCTAATAGTATTTTATAGATTTTTCTTCCAGAATATCTGAATTTTGTTACATCTCCACCATATGTGTAGATATGAGCCTATATTTTTCCCACATCTCCAACATATGTTAGACGCTCTGAGAAAACACTTAGCAATTTTCTCAGGAGTCCAATGCCACCTATAATACATTTTATATAGGGAAAGGATTCTTATAGTCCACGATGATTCCACACCTCTTGGCAATTTATTAATAGATGTGAGAAGGATTCTGAGCAGACGTGCTTAGTGTGGCACCTGAGATGAAGCACATACCTCTGGAAAACAGCCCAAGGTCCTGTCAAAGCTGCAAACTTAAATTTGCCCATTTTGTGATTCACCCCCCCCCAGTGTAAATAATGCTTTAAGAATTTGGTGGACAATTACCATGTTTTCCATGTCCTTATTTTTTAAATCAGCTGGCCAGCACACATTATTACTGAGACTGACACAGTTAAATTAGGAGACAATGGAACCAAACTTTTGGACCTCTAAACTTTCTTTCCGATTCCCTTTCACAGTGGGTCGCATCAATAAGTCTTTTAAGTCTTGTGCCTCATCAAACGTTTGTCAGCCAGGCAATTACAGTCTAACTACCAAGGACAGTAAACACTTCCAATCAATTGTGACTTGTTGCAACACAGACCATTGCAACAATGACACTCTTCAGGGTAAGTATCTGCATCTTTTCAGAAGCTGTGAAAACTCTGGTTCTCCTCATCCATTGGTGTGCGTGAGTCCCAGGGCTATTTTTGGGCAGGAACGCACAGGAACGGAGTTCCGGCTGGCTTCCAAGTTGGCCACGCCCAGCAGGAATGCATTAGCATAACAGGCCACACCCAACAGCAGGAACTCATTAGGATTGGCTACATTACGGGTGTGTGGCCTAACATGCAAAGGAGTTCCTGCTACAAAAAAGGCCCTGGGTTTTGACAACAAAGAAGGTAAACAGAATAAGAAGCAAAAGGTGGGTGTGGCTGGATGAGCACACTTCTGGTAACATGGGGGTGTGGCCTAATATGCCAATGAGCTGTGCGGTCAGGGGTGTGGCCTAATATGCTAATGAGTTTCTGCTGTGGGTGTAGCCTATTATGCTAATGAGATCCTGCTGGGCTTTTTCTACAAAAAGAGCCCTGGCTGAGTCCCAGGCATTTCTATGAGGAAAATGAAAGTACTACACTTCAGGGCACTGCAACAGTGGGGGGCAAAATCTTCCCTCCTGCCCAAGCGGGGCCTCCACACTCCACAAGAACAGCTGGAGATAGTCAGTGGCCCTTGAACGATGCCAGCTCTACCTTACATACATTCCACACATGATCATTATGGCCACTCTGTTAGGAACTGAAAATTCAGAACTCAGAACTCCCAGCCAATGTTCCCCCTAGGCCAGTGATGGCGAACCTTTTAGAGACTGAGTGCCCAAACTGCGACCCAAAACCCACTTATTTATCACAAAGTGCCAACACGGCAATTTAGCCTGAATACTGAGGTTTTATTTTAGAAAAAACAAGTCATACATTAACTTAACATGATCCAAACAAAGTAAGGAAAGCAATCCCAAATGCTTTCATTTACTTAAAATTATTTGGCAGAGAATTTGACACTTTAATGATGGTCTGGGCCTGGCTGGGGCGATGGCCCGCGTGCCCACAGAGAGGGCTCTGAGTGCCGCCTCTGGCACCCGTGCCATAGGTTCGCCACCACTGCCCTAGGCTGAGTTAGTGTGAGCTATCTACAGTTTTTTAGCCTCCGGCTCACACCTATTTGTATCAGCTCTGGAAGGATGGCTCCAGAGCAAACTAATTTATGCAACAGCCAAATCGCTCGCTCGCAACTTTAATGCCAGTAGCTCAGAAAGTAGAATTTTTGCTCACAAGACTCCACAGCTTAGAGGGAGCATTGGTAGTAGTCTGTTGTGTAGGTCTACTAGTATCCTGTTCCTGCACCTAGATACAAACAGGTTCTGAACAGCCAACCAGCCTGTCAATTCATTCAGCCCCTGTTGAAAAAGGTATCAGCTGAAGCAGCAGGCATTTGAGCATCCCTTGATTTTTCAGGGACAAGGATATTTTTGTCACAGAGGGCAAATCCCAGTCATCTGCAGGGGTGAGGATGAGCTCCTCAGTTATAGTTTTCGTGGGGGAAGGAAGTCTCAGCACTCAAGCACAATAGACCCTTGCCTTTCACAGGGCATCCATTGCCAGGATCACTGCAAATGGCGAAATATTGGGAGCCAGGTGTTAAGTCGCTCACTTAACGAATCAGTCAGAGAGTGATTCAGCAAGAACACAACTTTATTCTTCAACTTGAGTACTTCTCCAACACGGATCAACATCTGATAGCCAGAACAGTTTTAACATTGCAGCTGTCCTGCTTTTAAACATTCCCGGCTAATATAGCCACGCCTACTGTACAATTAACAACCAATAAGGTTGAACCGATAAGGACCAATCACAGTCGTTCCCCCTCAGGGAGCTTGCTTCTAAGTGATTGGCTATTACTTCCTGGACTAGTGATACGATTGGATATCTTTGGATCCTAGTCCAGGATGAAGCTTAACAGACAATTCCTATGAGATGTTTCACATAAGACGTTTACATTCATTTCAATACATCACACCAGGGGTTTGCACCTTCCCAGTTACAAAACCACCATGCATCCCACAATTTTTAAGAATATCACGTTTAGGATGATGGCACAGTGGGAGAGAAAATCGGCTAGAGAATACATCACATGATCACACCACAGGTCATTAATGAATGAAATCATACGCCATGAATCCTCCATCACTGGTGAGGGGTTCCTATCTCCAGGGCCTTTTTTGGTAGAAAAAGCCCAGCAGGAACTCATTAGCATAATAGGCCACACCCAACAGCAGGAACTCATTAGCATGTTAGGCCACACCCCTGGCAGTACAGCTCATTTGCATATTAGGCCACACCCCGTGCCTTCCCTTGGCTTGCCCAGGTGCCCCGTGGGTGCGGGGAGCCCAGGCAAGCTGGCCTTTGGACAGGCTGGGGAAGGCATGGGGAGGCATTTAAATGCCTCCCTGATCCTTCCAGGGCCCCCCACCTCGCAGTTGCCGGGGGGGGGGTCCCTCTCCAGGCCTTCCCTCTGTAGCCACGCATGCAGAGGTTTTGGTTGTAGCGGGCGTGGCCAACTCTGAAGCCAGCCGGAACTCCATTCCTGTGCGCTCCTGCCCAGAAATAGCCCTGCCTATCTCATCTCCTATATTTCTTTCAAAATACCTTCATTTTTCCTCCTAGTGTTTTTTTATTTCTTTCTAATATTCCCCATTTTCCAGCCCATCTCTTTCTCTTTCTCTTTCCTTTTGTTTCTGACTATGGGTGCGTTCAGACGGGCCGTTTAGTCCACTTTCATCCTGCCTCACAAATGGATTTTATCTGCGTGATCACACGGTCAACATCTGCTTCCCGTCCCCAGCCGTTGCTTTCCGGCTCAAAACGGCTTTAACTCGGAGTATTTTGATACCAGGTCCCCAAGTGGTGTTTTCCTGATTCTCCGGTTCCAGCCGCATTCACCATTTTTTAAAAAACGTTGGCGGTGTGCGCATAGGCGGAAGTCCACCACAGGGTTATTTAAAACAATGTTTAAATGGTGCCTAGTTTTAGCCTTTAGACGAGTTTGGGATCTCAGGGAGGCCATTTTCGGTGGTGAACGTTTAAAGGGAAGTGTTACAGCAGTCGGGTTGAAGAGGAAATCGCTGTTCTACAGATGGCTGCCTGTGCGCATGCCCAAACTGAGAGAGAGAGAGAGAGAACAACACTGACGTGTGTGGATGGCGGGGAGCAATGGGGCTGCGCAGCGATCCGGAGCAAGGAGGTGAGTGTGATCGCGATTCTCCAGGTTAAAAAAAAACACGCATGGAGCCGGAGCAGTTTAACCCACTCCCAGCACGCCGTCTAACCACACCCTGTCTCTTTCTCTCTTCATTTTCCCTCCCCTTCATGTTTGCTTTTCTTACCCTCCTCCTCCACTTATAAAAAGTTCAGGGGACTTTGAGTTTTAATACCATTAAACGCCTTAGTGCAGTGGTGGCGAACCTATGGCATGGGTGCCAGAGGTGGCACTCAGAGCCCTCTCTGTGGGCACGCGTGCCATCGCCCCAGCCAGGCCCAGACCATCATTAAAGTGTCGAATTCTCTGCCAAATAATTTTAAGTAAATGAAAGCATTTGGGATTGCTTTCCTTACTTTGTTTGGATCATCTTAAGTTAATGGATGAGTTGTTTTTTCTAAAGTAAAACCTCAGTATTCAGGTTAAATTGCCGTGTTGGCACTTTGTGATAAATAAGTGGGGTTTGGGTCGCAGTTTGGGCACTCAGTCTCTAAAAGGTTCACCATCACTGCCTTAGTGGTTTTCTTTCTTCAAGGGAGGGGGAGGATGATTTCAATAAATATTGAACAAAGTGAGGTGGAATGCTGAGCCAACTGTTGGAGTTGCTTTTTGCAGTGCCCCCAAGCACAAACAAAGCTAGGAATGGGAATCGGTGTCCAGTCTGCTTTTCCATGGGGTCAGATAGCTGCCAGACAGAGGAATTGATCGACTGCATTGGAGAGGAGACTCAGTGCATCAGTTTTTCTGCTTCCGTCAAGCTAAGTGAGTAGAGTGGCTTGTTACGTATGTAAAAGATGGATAGATATCTCTTTGACCTCTATAAAAATAAATTATGCATCTACAAAGCCCTGATTCAGATCGTATCATGTATAATACTTGATTCCCCCACCTCCAAAAAAATTTCTGTACCCTTACTCCTATCACATTGCTTATTTGATGTCTCCTATTGATTGCGTTGACTTACGCTGGGCAATCCCCTGACTCTCAGTGGGAAAGGCGGACTATATATAAATGGATCATGGCCGCACAGAAACAGGTGGGGAAATTTAATCCTTCAGCTCTCCCCAATCTTATTTTAAAAGAGAGAAAACACAAAGTGTAGAAGCACCGAGAAGTGGTGAGTGATCAGGTGAGAGCAGTTCCTCCTTGCAAAGTACTACTCTATCTCCCCCTGGGTGGGGAAGAGACCCAGTGACAGATCAGCTGGCAAGGATTCTTGAAGCTCCCTGGCCAGATTCCAGATGTGCATGCACAACATCTGCTCTCTTGGCATGGCTACACCCCGAGAATCCTAGAGCTGAAGAAACAGGTTGCTGTTCAAATGTGTGTGTGTGTGGGGGGGAGTTCTCCTGTTGAGGTTCTGGAGGTTTATCTGATTTATCGACATGACCTCTCCTAAAAACTCCCTTCTATCTAGCATTTCTCCACAGTATTTGGTAGGTGGGCAACCAATAAATGGGTGAGGAGACAGCTGAAGCACTGAGCAGGAAATCCCAGAGCAACCATGATTGAGCCTGACAATCTTGCTCCATCGCTCTTGGCTTTAAAGAAAGTCATCTAGATGCTAGAGGAGCTCTCTGGCATTGTTCAGCTCAAGAGGGTGATGCAGATCCCTTAAGAGGCATGGTAAATGGTGACTCTTCCCAAGACTTTCCCCATAGCGTCAGTCCTCCTTAGGGTTCCCACATCTGGGTTAAGAAATACTAGGTTAAGAAATACTGCGACGAGGGCCAGGGCTTTTTCAGTGGCGGCTCCTATCTGGTGGAATGAGCTCCCGGAGGAGACCAGGGCCCTGCGGGACCTTATGCAGTTCCGCAGGACCTGCAAGACGGAGCTCTTCCACCAGGCTTTTGAGTAGGAGCCGTCACTGTCACTGTACCACCACCGCGTTGCCATCTGGGCGACGTGAACTGGCCTTTGGAATGGAGAACGGACATGGTGAAGACCGATCAAGAAGAGACAGTAGTGGCCCCTGATACATTTATTTATTTATTTTTCATACTTGTACCCCGCCCTCCCCATGGGCTCAGGGCGGCTTACAGAGGCAAGGCAGAACCTTGCCATAATAAAAACATAGTATACATAATAAGTTTAAAACATAGTACATCTTAAAAATTCCTATATAAACAAAGTGCTCAGTGATATCATACTCCAAAGATGGCGGATTGAATGTCCGGGTGCCACGTAGACGGCTTAGGGTTTCTTCCATGTTCAGATGCTTCCTCAGGGCTTTATCCCACCCACAACGATGGTAGTATAGTGGGGGGGGCGGCTCCTACTCAAAAGCCTGGCGGAAGAGCTCCATCTCGCAGGCCCTGCGGAACTGCATAAGGTCCCGCAGGGCCCTGGTCTCCTCCGGGAGCTCATTCCACCAGATAATAGCTAGCAAATTTTGGGCCCCCGACCGTAGTGCTCTTGGGGGAACATACGGGGAAAGGCGATCCCTCAGGTAGGTTGGACCCTGGCCATGTAGGGCTTTGCATTGCATTGGAGTCCCCGCCTCGGTTGCTATTATGTGAGCACTGATTTTAAATGTAAAGTGTGATTTGATGGTTGTATTTGGTTTTCGTGTTATGTATGGTGTCCGCCTCTGGTTAGCCGCCCTGAGCCCATGTGGGAGGGCGGGATAGAAGTCAAATAAACAAATAAATACCTGGAAGGTATTTGGAGGGTAATGCCTGGGGTTTGTGGATGGGAGGGTCCTCGGCAGGATACAATGGTATAGAGCAGAGAGTCCGCAACGTTATAGAGCCTGTGGGCACCATGCGAGTTCCGACACAGGGTGGTGGGCAATGTTCCCTCTAAGCTGTGGAGTCCTGTGTGCAAAAATTCTACTTTGTGAGCCGCTGGCATTAAAGTTGTGAGCGAGCTATTTGGCTGCTGCATGAATTAGTTTGCTGTGGAGCCCTCCTTCCTGGGATAAGACAAAAATACGTGAGCTGGAGGCTAAAAAACTGTGAGCTAGCTCACACTAACTCAGCTTAGAGGGAACACTGCTCTTGAGCCATCCCTTCCTGAGCTAAGACAAAAATACGTGAGCTGGAGGCTAAAAAAATGTGAGCTAGCTCACACTAACTCAGCTTAGAGGGAACCCTGGTGGGTGCAAATATGAAATGGCTGCTAGAAGGGGTGGAGGCAACCACAAAATGGCCACTGAAGGAGGCACACACACACACACAGACACACACACACACACTACAGAGGACAAGAGTAATTTTTTTAAAATGCACCAGAAAAGAGGAGAGAGAGAGCATAAAACCAAACTCTAGGGTGGCAGCTTGTGATATAGCAATGGTATTTTAAGGTGCACGGCCAATCCGATCCCCAATACTAACCAGAAGCCCTGCTGAGCAGTAGCCCCACTTGGTCACACCCAGTTTCTAAAAACTCTTGCAAGGTAACCGAAAAGATATTGGTGGGTGCTACACCACCTGCAGGAACCACTTTGGCGATCCCTGCCATTTGCTCCAGGGGAACTGATCTCCATTGTCTAGAGATCAGCTGCAATCGAGGGAGATCTCCAGGTTCTACCTGGAGGCTGGCAACCAGGCTTGCCAGCACTGGGTGGGAAATACCTGGGCATTTGAGGGGGGTGGGGTTTTGGGAGGTGATGGAGGGTAGGGGTTTTGGGAGGTGAGGGATATTAGCAGGATATAATGCCAGAGAATCCAAACTCCAAAGGAGCCATTTTCTCCAGGAGAACTGAACTTGGCCATCTGGAGATCAGTGGTAATAGTGGGATATCTCCAGGTGCCACTTCTGGCAGACCCGGTCCCCCTAGATCAGTGGTGGCGAACCTATGGCATGGGTGCCAGAGGTGGCACTCAGAGCCCTCTCTGTGGGCACGCGTGCCATCGCCCCAGCCAGGCCCAGTGTCTAATTCTCTGCCAAATAATTTTAAGTAAATGAAAGCATTTGGGATTGCTTTCCTTACTTTGTTTGGATCATCTTAAGTTAATGTATGAGTTGTTTTTTCTAAAGTAGAACCTCAGCATTCAGGTTAAATTGCCGTGTTGGCACTTTGCGATAAATAAGTGGGTTTTGGGTCGCAGTTTGGGCACTCGGTCTCTAAAAGGTTCGCTATTATTGCCCAAGATGATGCACTCCATGCGAAGACCTTACTGGAGAGAAAAATCATTACAGGACCCAAATTGGAGGGCTGGACTATTCAGAAGGAAGGGGGGACACCCAACATTTGAAGGGAAACTATCGAGTTTGGAGGCCTGATAACAACACTCCCACTCTCTTTACCACTAAGGTCCCACTCTGTAACGTATGTTAATGTTCTTCCTTTCCCCCCCTTGCAGGTGCTTCACTTCTCCCTTTATCACTAAGGGGTGCCTTACAGGGCTGCGCTACACCAAACCTATGTGCCTCTCCAGCACTGCCACCAGAATTATCCAAGAACGGAATCGAGGTCAATATTACTCTCCTGCAATGTAGCAGTGGCACCAGCGCTGCCACCACACTGACGGACAGCACCACACTGCCCTTGCCAGGCTGATAGGAAATAGCAAAGCTTTCCCCCTGCAGATTCCACCATTTATTGGAACAGGGAAGGAACTCGGGGACTATGTGATTAGAACATTGGAGAGTCAGGGTAGAGGTGAATGGGTTGCCAAAGGGCAAAGAAAACCGGTGCAGAAATTTGGGATTTGAGGCTTCTAGCTAAATAAAATCCAGGAAATGAGTAAGTATTCACTGAATTATGATCAAAATAAACTGAGTTTTGCAAGCTATATACATGTGGTTTTTTTCCCTGTGGGTTTACAAAATGAACAGTTTGTTGAAGGAGACAACTGTGTTTCTTGATGGAAGCAATCACATTTATACAATATTTGACTAAGGGGGTCAATGCTAATATGAAGAGAAGAATGCTGAAGGAAGCCGTGAAGTACTTTGGGGTGTAGCCACTGGCCTCAGGAATCCTGAAGTAGAAAACAAAGCTTTCAGACAGAATTACCTACTCAGATAACATTTCATCTCAGATAGGCACAGCCAGGGGTCATTTCCTGCGGGAGCGCATAGGAGCAGAGCTCCGGCAGTAAGGAGCCCAGGGGGCACGCACATGCAACAAGCCCTGCCCCCTGCTCCCAGCAGCCCTCAGTCAGGCCACGAGGAGCAAGAAGCAGCCAGGTAAGCTGCAGAGCCCCCCCCCCAGCCCACCTTCAGGTACAAGCTCTCCCTCCTCTGTGAGAGCAGATCTGCACGTTCCCCCCCCCCAATAGCTAGCAATCCAAAACAGTCCAATGGCGCTTGAGCGGTGGGTGTTGCCTTCTGACACACTTCCGGTGATGTCAGGGGGGTTGGCATATGCAAATAA